TCCCCTCACAGCTCCCCATAACCTGGCCCCTGCTCTCTGCCCCAGCCCCTTCCACGCAGGCCTCAGGGTCTCACCTTTAGGGGCTGAGAGACACAGCAGGGTCCTGGGCACTATCGCTGCCTGGGGGGAGAACAACACAGACCTGGTCAGAGCCAGGAGACAAGAGACCAAAGGCGGGACTGATGGGGTGACTCCCCCAGGGGTTAATCTACACTGTCCCAAGGGTTCCATCTACATATCCCCCTGATGCACACTTACCCACAGGCAGAGTGTAGTTTCCTCTCTGTCCCCCTGTGGGAAGAGACATCATGTGAGACCAGGGAAGAATCAGGTCAGACATCCTAAGGATATTTTCTAATTCTGGAGTAGAGGGAAGTTTCCAGAACTGTGACTAAAGCCCCAGGTCAGGACCAGGAAAATAAAGAGAGGACACTACGCAGGAGGGAGAGGGGGAACTGGACCAAACCCCTTTGGGTAGCACAGGTGTGTGGCTGGTGCTTCCCATTAACCAGGTGGGGCAAGCTCTCCCTGGGACTTGAAAGCCCCCAGGGGACAGGATCCCCCACTCCCTCCCTACCTGAGTGCTTCTTCCTCCACATCACAGCTGCAGCCACCGCAGCCCCAGTGAGCACAGCTCCAAGGAGAACCAGGCCAGCGATGAGGCCCCCCGTGGGGGTGGAGGTCTGAGGAGGGGGCTCTGGAAGGGAAGGGGAGGGGAGACCCTGAGCCCCAGGCCTCATCCTGACCCTCTGAGGGGTCCAGCAGGACTCCTGATCCCCTAAGATGATCCTCTGTGCCCACGTCCCCCTCCTCACCCCATCTCAGTACTCGGGGCTCCGGCAACCCCTCATGCTGCACATGGCACGTGTATCTCTGCTCCTCTCCAGAAGGCACCACCACAGCTGCCCACTTCTGGAAGGTTCCATTGCCCCCAGGCCTGGTGTCCACCTGCTCCACGTTCTCAGTCAGGTTCTCCCCATCTCGCTGCCAGGTCAGGGTGATGCCCGCAGGGTAGAAGCCCAAGGCCCAGCATTTCAGGGTGACATTCTTGTTAGAGATGAGGTGGTGGGTCAAGTATGTGTTTGGGGGATCTGAGGGGCACAGATCAGAAATGTCACATTTTGGGTTATTATTCAGTGTCCTCCACAGACACTGAAGCAGCTTCTCGTGACCATCCTCAGAATGGACATGACATTGGTGTGGAGGAGGAAGCACAAACCCAGGGCCCAGCCCTGTCTGGGGAATCTGGGATCATCGGGTGAGAGCCCAGGGTGGAAGGGTGCAGGTCTCTAGGAGGACACAGACTCTGTTCCTGAACTGGGTGGGGGTGAGTGACACAGAAAGCAGAGTCAGGTCCAAAACTGTTCTCAGGCCAAAAACAAGGCCTGAAGAGAAACTAATGGTTCTCAAGATGGCAGCCTGGTCAAAAAGTTCCAGGGGAGGGTGATTTCAGGCATGGTGTCCTTGCTTCAGAAGAGATTGGACTCCAAGTCCAGGAAAGAGGTGTCTTTGGGGAGAGTCTCTCTAATACAGAATATGATACCCAGGGGCTCCATCCCTCTGACCAGAAAGCAGGTGCTTTTCTGCCCATTATCCCATTTCCCTGTGGGGTCCAGGGTGAGGGGGTGGAGGCCTTGAGGCCCCCTTACCTGTGCGCTGCAGCACCTCCTTCCCCAGCTCCAGGAGTCTGCGGAGCCACATAGGGCACCTGCCCTGCAGAATGTCCCTGACGTGCTCCGCCATCCCCGACACCTCCCACTGGCGCTGGGTGAACTGGGCCACCGGGTCCTTGGGGGTCCAGGAGCGCAGGTCCGGGTTCAGGGCGATGTAATCGGCGCCGTCATAGGCGAACTGTTCGCACCCGTGGAGGAGGCGCCTGTCGCGCCCCACCTTGCAGCCACACATCCTCTGCAGGGTGTGAGACCCTGAACCCCCCTGTGTCAGCCCCGCGGTCACCCAGGGTCAGCTGTGTCCCCCAACCCCACCTCAATCAACCTAAACTGAACATGAAGCTGCAGGCAGGAGGGTCCCGGGGGTTCTTCCCTGGGGGAGGGGCCGGGCAGGTCCATCAGCCTCGAGTGGGACCCTGAGACTCCAGGTACCCCCGCCTTATGGTGGGAATGGGGGTGGTGACCTCCTCCCGGGATCGCACCTTGATGCTCACCGTTGTTGTTGCTCTGGTTGTAGAGGCCAGGCAGGTCCTGCAGCAGCGCTTTGAACCACTGAGCCTCATTCCTCTGGTTCCTGGTCTCCTCCTCCACATCCTCCTGCCTGACCTGCCCAGCCCAGGGCTCCAGCAACTCCACACTCTGACCCAGAGAGTCGCTGTCGAACCTCCCGAACTGCGTGTCGCCCACGTAGCCCACCGTGATGAAGCGGGGCTCCCCGGGGCCATGCCGGGACATCACAGTGGAGAAATACATCAGGGAGTGGGAGCCTGGGGGCGGGAATGGGGACCTGGGCTGACCCTCCTCACAGTGCTGGGCCCAGGTCCCAGGGAGATGGGCCTGGAGGGGAGAAAGGGGCAAGGGGGCTCCTGAGAGTAAAAGGGGCCAAGAAGGGCCCAGACTCAGGGGGCCCAGAGCACCCAGTGAGGC